AAAGATATAGATATAGATATATAGATATATAGATATATGGAGCACCCAACTCTGGTAAAATGTAGGAACACCCAACTCTGTAAAACAAACTTTGACATAAAAAAATCAAATGAGCAATAATACAATAGTAATGGGGGACTTTTAACAGTCACTGACACAAAGAGACAGATGAGCTAAGCATAGAAATATCAGAACTAAACCAAACCTGTGAAGAAATGGACTTAGTAAACTTTTACAGCATGTTCCACCCAACAGCATCAGGATACACATTTTTCCCAATTGCATGTGGAATGTTCACCAAAATAGACCATATACTAGCACACAAAGCATGCTTAAATAAATGCAAAGAAACTTAAATTATCTCATGCATATTATCTGACCATAGTGCAATGAAGCTGGAAATTATTGACAAAAGAAACACCCAAAACTCCATAAACACATAGAAACTACATAATACACTCCTGAACAATCAATGGGTCACAGAAGAAATTAAACAATATTTGCAATCAAATGAAAATGTATATTAACTTATTGGAACTTGTGGGAGGCAATGAAAGCTGTCTTAAGAGAGAAATTTATAGCAGTAAGTTCTCGTATCAGGAAAACAGAATGAGTCCAAATAAACAATCTTATGCTGCAAGTCAGGCTCCCAGAAAAAGAAGAGCAAGTTAAGCCCAAAGCCCAAAGAAGGCAAGAAATTATAAATATCAGAGCAAAAATAAAAGCAATGGAAAGAAACAAAGAAAAAATACAAAGAATTAATGAGTTGGTTCTTTGAATGTATAAATAAAGTTGATAAACCCCTAGCCAACCTTATTAAAAAAGGAAAAAAAATTCAAACTCATGCAATAAGGAATGAAAAGGGTGAAATCACTACAGCCCCTGTAGAAATTCGGAGGATCATCAATACCTATTTCTTGTCTTTTCTTTTTCTTTCTTTCTTTCAATGTATTTAGTAGAGGTTCTACAGGATCTCACTACACAGATCACATTTGTAGTGATCCTCCTGTTTTCAGCCTCCCAAGCACTGGGATTATAGGCACATGCCCCCACGCCCAGTCTCATTTGCCATCTCAGTGTGCTCCAGGGCGGGGCCAGCATAGCACACTGGGGCTCAGACCTTGGGTCCCTGTATCTGCCTAAGTAGGTGCTTTAATCCACTATCTGGCTATTAGATATTTCTAAAATCTTTACTCTCAAGGATGGAAAACATGTAACAAATGGACAGATTCCTAGATACATACAAACTACCAATGCTGAATCAGGAAGTTATAAAAATTGTGAACAGCCCAATATGTCAATTAAATTGAAAGTGTAATAAAAAAAACTACCAACAAAGAAGAGCTCAGGTACTAATGAATTCACAGCTGAATTCACAAGAAATTTAGAGACGATTTAATGCCAACTCTTTGCAAACTCTTCAATGAAATTGACAGGGAAGTAATCCTCACAAACTCATTCCTGGAGGCAAGTTTTACTCTGATACCACAACCAGAGGAGGGCCCAACCAAAAAATGAAACTACAGGCCAATCTCCCTAGTGAGCATAGATGCAAATATCTTCAATAAAATACTAGCAAACAGAATGCTGAAAATCATCAAGAAAATTATACATGATGGGATTCATCCCAGGAATGCAAGGTTGGGTCAATATATGCAAATCCATAAATGTAACACATCATATCAGCAGAACCAAAGACAAAAATCACATACGCATCTCAATAGAAGAAAATGCTTTTGGCAAAATCTAAAACTGATTCATCATAAAAACCCTACAGAGAATTGGAATAGATGGTCTTTACCTCAACCTGATAAAAGTCATCTATGAGAAATCAACAGCCAACATCATACTAAAGGCACAAAAACTGAAGGCCTTCACTTTAAAATCAGGAATAAGACAAGGATGCCCACTGTTACCACTCCTGTTCAATATAGTTCTGGAAACATTAGCCCAAACAATTAGACAAGAGAAAGAAAAAATACTGACTAGAAAGGAAGAAGTGAAATTATCATTATTTGCAGATGATGTTTATATTGTACATAGAAGACCCCAAAAACTCCACTAAGAGACTTGTAGATCTAACAACCAAATTCAATTGCATAGCAGGATACAAAGTCAACACTCAAAAATCAATAGCATTTCTATACACAAACAATGAACGCACAGAGAGAAATCATGGAAACCACACCTTTCACAGTAACACCTAAAAAAAAATGAAATACATAGGAATCAATCTCACAAAGGAAGCAAAAGATTTATACATTGAAAATTATAGTACTCTGGAAAAAAGACATCAAAGAGGACTTCAGAAAATGCAAAGATATTCTTTGCTCCTGGATAGAAAGAACCAACATTGTAAAATGGCCGGAGTCCCAAAATTATGATACAGATTCAATGTAATCCCAATTGAAATTCCACTTGCATACTTCACAGAACTAAAGAAAACAGTCCTAAAATATATCGGGAATCAGAAGAGACCTAGAATAGCAAAAGCAATCCTGGGCAACAAAGGAAAGACAGGAGAGAATACAATGCCTGACTTGAAATTATACTACAAAGCTACTGTGATAACATCAACATGGTACTGGCAAAAAACAGATCTGAGCCTCAGTTGAACACATTAAAAGATGCAGACACGTCTAGAGATACACTCAGCCACAGAGGGGTCAAACATATTCACTAGAAGAAACATAGCATCTTTAATAAATGGTGCTAGAAAAATTGGCTTTACAAAACATGCCAAAGGCTAAAAATAGACCCATGCCTATCACCATACATAAAGCTACAGTCAAAAATGGGTCAAATATTTAAATATTAAAACTGAGACACTAAACCTTCTGGAGGTGAAAGTAGGTAGAAATCTTGAGGACAGAGAGGTAAGAAGAAAGTTAATGAACAAAAATCAAACTCCATGGGAAATCCTTCAAAGAATCAACAATTGGCATCTTATCTTACTGAAAGTTTCTGCACTTCAAAAGAAATCACCTACAGAGTAAAAAGAAAAGCCATGAATTGGCAAAAACTTATAGCTGACTGTCCCTGAGACAAATGCCTTCTATCTGGAACAAAAAATGAATGAATAAATAAATAAATAAATAATAAATAAATAAAACAGGCCTCCCAAATTCAAAGACTCAATCTAAAAATAGGCATCTGAGATGAATATACACTTCATAAATGAAGAGATATGTCTTCATACATATGTCAAGTAACACTGAACATCACTGGTCATTGAAGAGACGAAGATACTAATGGCTATCATCAAGAAGTCAACCAATGACAAATGCTGGAGAGGTTATAGGGAAAAACCCTTCTCCACTGTTGGCGGGAGTACAGCCTGGTACAATCATTATGGAAATCAGTGTGGAGATTCCTTAAGAAGCTAGGATTCGAGGTCCCATTCAAGCCAGGTATTCCCCTCCAAAAGAAGTGAAATAATCATACCACAGTGATACATGTGCACCCATATTTATAGCAGTGCAATTTGTCATAGCTAAATCTTGGAAACAACCCAAATGCTCACCAACTGAGGAATGGATAAAAAAGATATGGTATTTTTACATAATGGAGTATTACTCAGCTATAAAAAAGATAAATGCAAGGCTTCTGTAGATAAATGGATGCAACTAGATACTGTATTGGTAAGGGAAATAAATCAGACCCATGTGTGCTATCATAAAATTGTCTTGCTAGCATACAAACCTCAAGAGTAAATAAAATCTGAAAGGTACAATACATAATGTCAAAAGGAAAGAATTTATTCAATGGGAAGGAAAAACTGGGATGAGGAAAACAACAAAAGAAAGAAGGGAAAAAGATATATTTATATATATTCTGATATGCTATTCTTTAAAATACTCACGTTATGGTTATTTTTTATTTTTAAATTTTAATTTAACTTTATGTGTAGAAACAGGGTCTCACTATGTAGCTCAGGCTGGCCTCATATAAAAAGTTCTTCATGGTTTTTTAAAGTAGCCCATGAAACTCAAACTTGTAGTTTTAACAAGTATGGCACAATGTAGAGTCCTAAATGTGGTCCCTACAACTGCACTATGGCTAGCAAAGCTTTTTTGTTCTTTTTTTTTTTTTTACCTGAAGATTGATCTCTGCCTCGTAGAAGGTTAGGCACGAGCAGTAATGTCGATCAGAGTCAATATCTGTTAGTACCACCACGAAGAACGTCGGTTGCTTCCTTTCTCTAGACAGCTGCCATCCAGCGGGCTGACAAAACTAAATGGGACAGAAAAAAAAAGTTCACATTTTAAAGCATAATGAAAATTATTCCTTAACAGATGAGAGATATTAAATGTTTCTATCTTTCAAAATTTCTACCTGATGTGGTACAATTATCAATTCAGCCAATAAAAAATCCTCACACATTCATAATGGAGAAAATTTAACAACATGCATATGCATTTTATGAAGTATTAAAACTTACATCTAGATGTTCTCTAAAGCTTCATGTGATCATAGGTGGAGCTTTTGGCGGGTGAGTGGATTATGGGGGCTTATGACTGACTTGCTATTACAAGGTGTGCTATGGTTGGAAGAGATGGATCACTGGGAATGTGCCCTGGGTCTATCTCTTTTCTCATTTTATCTCGTCTCATCCTGTCTTCTCTGCCTCTGTCTCTCCTCTGCCTTGGAACCAACTGACTATGAACTGAAAGCTTTACAAACTGTGAGTTAAAAATAAACCTTTCTTGGCCTGGGGATATAGCACAGTGGCATAAATGCCTGCCTGGCAAACGCAAGGTCCTGAGTTCGATCCCCACTACAACACACACACACACACACACACACACACACATTCTCTCTTGTATTTCAGTGATGAGAAAGTTACTCTGATAAGAAAAAGCCTAGATTTTCTTTTTTTCTTTGGCAGAACCGGGGATTGAACTTAGACCCTTGTGCTTGCCAGGGAAGCACTTACTCTACTTAGCCATCTCCCTCGCCCTAGATTTTCTAAGATGCCATTCCAAGCTGTTATTCTCGAGACCATGTTGCCATATATATGAAAACAGCATCAAAATGAGGGACATTTTCATAACCATGAGAACAAAATATCCTGTAAGTTGGAAATAAAATAAGAAGTATATATCATTGATGGATAAGAGAATTACTAAAGTATTTCCTTATGAATCTAAGGTATTTTCAACTTAGTATGACGAAAGAGGTATCTTGCTACCAAGATTACATTTAAAGCTAAAAAAAAAAAAAGAGCTACAGAAAAAACAAAACAATGTTTTCCACAAATGGGGCTTAAACAACTAGACATGAACATACCAAAAAAAAAAAAAAAAAAACAACAACAACAAAAAAAACACAAACAAACAAACAAAAAAACCCTAGACATAAACTTGACACTCTTCCCAAAAACTGACTAAAACAGTACCACAACTAAATGTAAAATGCAAAAACAAAAAACCTCTCATAGATAACATAGTAGAATAATCTTAGCTGACCTTTGGCTTTAAAATCACTTTTTACATAAAATATCAAAGGTATGATCCATGAAAGAAGTAATAACTAAACTTAATGAAAAGCTTCTGCTATGTGAAAGACCGTCAAAGCTGAACATGCTGGCACAGGCCTGCAGTCCTGGCACTTGGGGCTGAGGCAGAGGACTGGAGGAGTAGAGGGAAACCTAGACTACATAATGAGTTCAAGGCTAGCCTCAATGAGACGTTATCAAAAAAATCAAGAAAATAAAGTGAGAGCAAGAGCAAGAGTGAGAGTGACAGAGTGAGAGCAAGAACAAGAATGAGTGAGAAGATATGAATATGAAACTAGATACAGCTTAGAAGTACAGTATTTTTAAAAAATATGTATCTGATAAAGAATTGTTATCTAATATACAAAGAAGTTAAAATTCATCAATAAGAAACAACTCAATTCAAATACACCTATTTGAATGATATGGAGATATAAAATTAGCATATGTAAAGATGCTCTACATCATATGCCATTAAGGAAATGCACATCAAAAAAAGGAAAGGTTGAGGGGGTATAGCTTAGTGGTACAGCATCTGTGTAGCATCCTTGAGGCACTGGGTTTGATCCCCAGCATCCTGAAAACACTAAGAAGAAAAGTAAAACAAACAAAAAAGGAGATTACCACTTTAGGAACAAGGATTTTTCTTACTCACTTTGTCACTGGGACAATACACTCAATACTTACAAGTTAAAGAAAGAAAGGTTTATTTTGGATCGCATTTGAGAAGTTTCAGACCTTGTATGGTCAGGGGCATGATGGAAGGGCCTGTGCGGAGGAAAAATGCTTACTTCCCAGTGGTCAGGAAGCAGAGCAGGAAGGGAGCAGGCCAACCAGGGAAGGAGGTATGTTCTTCTGGCCACATCTCCAGTGACCCTTATGACCCAGTCATTTTCCAAAAGCCACATCTCCAAGTATATAAGGTTCGTGGGGGTCATTTGTGATATAAACCACAGCAATGATAATAATTTGATTAGGATGTGGAGCAACAAAAATCTTCATTCACTTTTATTGGGAATGAAAATGGGTACAGTAATTTTAAAAGACAGTTTCTTATAAAATCAACATATTCTTACCATAATATTTGGTAATCATGCTCCGTGGTATTAAATGAGCATGTAAATTTCTGTCTGCATAAAATCTTACACAGTGATATTTATGGTAATGTTCTTAATTACAAAACTTAGAAGCATGCAAAACAGTCTTTAGGTGAGTGGAGTAGATAAATTAACTAGTACCTTCAAAATATGGATTATTATCAACTCCAAAATGAAATGAGCTATCATGTCATGAAAGACAGGGAGAAAATGTCAATAGACAGTCTGTGGTGTAAGAAATTGAAAGCAGGGCTTCACACAGGTAAGGCAAGCATTCTCAATATTAAAAAGTAAAAATGCCAGCTTGAAAAGGCTTAAATATTATATCGTTTCAACTTTATGACACTTTGCAAAAGGTAAAACTAAGGAGATATGGGCTGGGGAAATGGCTCAGTAGAATAAGTGCTAGGGTTCTGAGTTCAATCCCTGGTACTGAAAAACAAAACAAAACAAAACCCTAAGGAGATAGTTAAAAAAAAAAAAAAAAATCAGTGGTTCCAGGACGCAAGAACAAAGTGAGATATAAACAGGGATAAAGAAATGGTACAACATGGGGCCAAGGAGGTAGCTCAGCAGGCATAAGCGTCTGCCTGGCAAATACAAGGTCTTGAGTTTAACCCCCAGTATTGACAAAGGAAGAAAAGGAAGAGGAAGAAGGAGAAGAGGAGGAGCAAGACGAGGAAAAGGAAGAGGAGGGGGAGGAGGAGGAGGAAAAGGAGGAAGAGGAGGAGAAAGAAGAAGCAGCAAAGGAGGAGCAGAAGGAGGAGGAGGAGGAGGAGGAACAGGAGGAGGAGGAAAGCAGGGGAGATGAAGGCCTGAGTTCAATCCCTGGTTCTGCCAAAAAAAAAAGAAAAAGAAAAAGAAATAGAAATGGAACACAGAATTTTTAGGGCATTAAAACTACTGTATCTATATGATACTAAAATGGTAAACATATGTCATTGCATATTTGCCAAAAGCTACAGAAAAAATCATACCAGAAATGATCCCTAATGTAAACAACAGGCTTCCAGTTGATAATACTGACAACGCCTCATCAGCACAGACGCATCCCTCACATGTAGGATGACAGGAGGCTGTTCTGGGGGCAGAAGGTATATGGAAACTAGCTGGCCTTTGTTTAATTTTGCTATGACTATAAAACTGCTGTAAATGGGCCAGTCATATAGCTCAGTGGCATAGAGCCTGCCTGGAAAGTGCAAGGTCCTGAGCTTGATTCCCCGCATCAAACACATAAACAAACTATTCTAAAATAGTCTTTAAAAAAAAAAATTTGGAGGATATAATCTTTAGTAGCAACTTTGTTCATGAAAGATGGAAGAGAAACAGGAATTGGTACACCAACAGAGTAGCTCTCTGTGCTGGATTACCTTTCTTTTTGTTATAAGCAACTTACCCTCTCAGCATCTCAGTTTCCTTAACACAAATGAGGGATATTAGTATGCACAGATAATACTCTTGCGAAGATACATAAGTTAATACGTGAAAAGTGCTCAGAACAGTCCTTGGAGACCACTGCTAGAGGCTGCCCTTCCTTTCACTACTTTCATTACTTACTTTTCTTAGTTTAGAGACATGAGAATAGGTAGATGATTTCCTATGTTTGGAATCATGTTCACAGTCTTTCTACAGAATGAAAAAGTCTACCAGCTGAGTTTCTTTCAGCAGATATCATAAATACTATATAAAGAAACTATATGAAATGACATAAGCTTTAAAGATACCTCAATTATAAAATAAATGGAAACATTTCTATTACATTTTTTATTTTGATCTTATTTCTTCTCTAGCCTGATGGACTTCTTTGCTTCAGTTGCTATCATTTCAGAGATTTCAGGTGTGTGATTTCCGAGTTCTTGCATGTCCTCATCTCCTGGATTTGTTCTGGGTGGGCTGAAGGAGTGTGATTGCCTTTTGTTCAAGCATTTTGACATTTTTGAAGCTCTCAATAATCACCCAGACTTAGCAGTAGTGGGTTAGTCAGGTTTCCATTACAGTGCAGAGCAGGGTAAGGCTCCCCACAGCTCTCACTACTAGTGGGGGCGACTGGCTGATACTCAACAAAGCTTCAGTGTAGGTGGTGGATGTGGGCCAGATTCACCAGTATCCCACAGGCTGCCTAGAATCCTCCTAAATTCTTAAAAGGTTGGACCAGTGCCAACACAGGCTCCATACCTGTGCAGGGAGGGACAAGAGACACAGCTCACCAGAGTCCTGAGGGCTACCCAGTCCTCCAAAGTTCTTAAATGGTTGGAGGGTATGTACATTTTCTATTTTGAAGTGGTAAATCATTTAATAAACATTTACTGAGTACTTCAAAGCCAATTATTCTATAATGTCATCTCATTTACCTCTCTGTATTTCCCTTGAACTTAACTATTCTACTACTAATCTAGTACAGAAAAGCTGACATCATTGTCTTTATGCATGTATTTTGCTATCAAAAATCTCTCTACATTAAATTCCCTGACATTGTTATTTCAGGCTTCCTTGTGACCACTGTAAGCCCTTTTCATTCTAGAATAGCAGCTCTCAAAGTATAATAAACAAGACCGTAAGAGTCCCCAGGGTCACAATTACTTTCATAACAATACTAAGATACTGGTTGCTTCTTTCACTTTGTTGACACATAAGTGGTT